AGCCCTTTATATAAATTGCTTTTTAAAAAACTTTTGAGATAGGTCTTGCTAAATTACCCAGGCTGTGGCTGGGGATTTAGCTCAGTGGTTTTGCCACCTGCTGCGCAAGCGCAAAGACCTGAGTTCGATCCCTGGAAAAAAAAAAAAAAAAAAAAAAAAAATTACCCAGGCGGGGCTCAAATTTGCAATTTTCCTGTCTCAGTCTCCCAGAGTGCTGGGATTATAGGCATGCACTACCATGCTGGGCTCTTTTATTTTTGTTTTTGGTAGTACTGGGGATCAGTCCCAGGTCCTCGAACATGACAAACTTACTTCTTTATAGAATAACAACAACTATATAAGTTAATCTTTTCATCTTTATCACAATATCACATTCCAGAAGAATAAAAAAATACTTACATCTGGAATTCCTCTGGGAGTCGATATATTAAAACCTGGATAGTTTACCAACTTCGAGAGATCATAAGTGACACTTTTATTCTGCTGTATTTCTCCAACTTCTGTTTCTCCATCAGCATCATCTATTATAGACCATCAAAGTGTTAATATTGGTAGATACTCATATGTCCTTTTCCAACCAAAAATACACCTGGAAAATGCTTATATTCATTTCAACAGAATTAGTCTGTAAATGACTGTGATTTTTCTAAACCATTAGAATTTTTTTTTTCCTTTGGGTACCAGGGATTGAACTCCGGACCTTGAGCTTGTGAGGCAGGTGGCAGCACCACTGAGCTAAATCCCTGGCCCCTAAACCATTAGAATTTTAAAACAGTGCGGACATATTACTGTGATAAACACAAATATGTAAAATTCTGGAAACTCTAGTACTTTTATATAAGTTGCTTAAAAGTCTATTTTGAGGGCTGGGGATTTAGCTCAGTGGTTCCGCTGCCTGCCTCACAAGCAGAAGGACCCGAGTTCAATCCCCAGTACCAAAAAAAAAAAGTCTATTTTGAGTTGGGCATGGGAGTGCACATCTGTAATCCCAGCAGTAGGCAGGCAAAGGTAGGACTACTACAAGTAAGTTCAAAACCAGCCTGAAGGACCGGGGATTTAGCTCAGTGGTTCCGGCATCTGCCTCACAAGTGCAAGGTCTCGAGTTCGATCCCTGGTACCAAAAAAATTTTTTTTAAATTTTGTACTAATATTACAATTTGTCTAATGTTCGATTCCAATGCTTTTATTTTTATTTTGTTTTTTTGTGGTACCGGCAATCGAACTTAGGACCTTGTGCTTGCAAGACAGGCATGGTGCCACTAAGCTAAATCCCCAGCCCTCCAATGGTTTTATTTAATAAAAATTTTTTAATTTTTTTTTTGGTACCGGGGATCGAACTCGGGTCCTTGCGCTTGCGCAGCAGGTGGCGAAACCACTGAGCTAAATCCCCGGCCCTATTTAATAAAAATTTATGTAGTGCTTACTATGTACCAGATAATACTTCCTTTTCAGACAGTCTTTTATTTTTACAAATAATAACTCAGATGATCTTTGTAACAACCCTAAGAGGTACATACTATTAAAATACCTTTTACAGATGAGTCTTTGAAGGACTATTTGTGAACTGCTTTAATTTTGAAAACTACTAAATAAATCAAGCATTTATTTTGCCTGTTCTATGTCAATTTATGTAAACTTACCAAATAATTTATGGGAATTTTCTCTCTTTTTTGGGGGGGGGAACTTTCTCTCTTTTTTGGGGGGGAATTTTCTCTTTATATAAATATTCTAGCTAATAAGCTGAGAAGTAATGAAAGAATGAGAATTAGCCTTCAGCAATCCATCATTAATTAACAGATACAGGCAGCGGTCTCCAGTGACTGATTCCATTACAATTTACAGGAAATAAATACATGGACAAAGGAACAAGCTGAACAATACCTCAGGGGTGCAGCAGCAAAATCCCAAAAGCTCTTTAAGGCAAATCACATCAGTGTTTAAAAAAAAAGGATTATAGATGAAAAGAGATTTAAGAGACTATTAATCATCTACCATCTTTTGACCAAAGAATCTTGATTCAAACAAACAAACTAAAAAACAAAGCAAAACAAAGACCCAACAGGTAATAATTGAGGCAACTTTAATAACCTAACATACTACACCTTTTCCATCGTAGAGTGCAAGCCCTGAATTCTCCAACTCAGCCTCCTTGAGCCACCCTGGTGGGTATCCGAGCTGGCGCATCCGATAGATAAAAGGGGGGAGACTCTTGTCTGTCACCCCCAGTGCATCTTGAAGCTCCTCACTACGTAAAAATAAAGAGTTTTATTATTTATCTACCTTATCCCACTTGCATGAGAACATACAGTGCACTGTGTTATAAAACATTTCAGTCTCATTTCCATAGCATGGAACACGGTGCCTAGCCCATGCAATGTTAAGAGTTCAGTAACTGTTTTCGAGTGATTTGATGCTTATCATGTAGGCCTCGAGAAAGCACGCTTCCATCCTGATAGCTATCTTGGAAAGCTACAGAACATTCTGAACACCGAGGAAGTAAAAATGACAGCCTATGGTAACATGAAGCAAGTACCTGATAACGCCTGGCTTGAATCTTCCGAATCTTTCTTCCACTTCTTCTGCATGGTAACGCTGCTGAAAACTCTGATTGTTTGCTTCACTGCAGGCATCCATGTACTCTTTTCTCTTTTCACTTATTCGAGCCGCATTCCGGGGCTAAATCATCATGTGTTTAAAAAGAATTCTATTAACCAATTTAGAGACATCTCAGAAATTAAAAATAAATAATCACTTCTCTTTTAGGTAAGCAAACTGTTTTAGTTTACTGATTTTCCTTTTTCTATTTTAGTTTCTGAACCCCCCCACCCCCATATCGGGGATCGAATTCAGGACCTTGTGGTTGTGAGGCAGGCATGGTGCCACTGACCTAAATCCCCAGCCCTATTTTAGTTTTAATATATAAGACTGTCATAAAAGGCAATAGATATTTTTGAAAAGTGAGCAAGAGGACAAGCAGTCACTTTAACTTTAATTTCCTTTTTTTTTGTTTTGTTTTTCTTTGTGTTTTTTTGAGACAGGGTCTCGCTATGTAGTTCAGGCTGGCCTCAAACTCACAATGATCCTCCTGCCTCAGCCTCCTGAGTGCTGGGATTACAGGCCTGTGCCACCACACCTGGGTTTCAATTTCCTTAATTTCATCTCAGTGTTATAATTTAAAATCAAACTTTTAGAATAAGCGGTATAAAAATTAACTCGTTTTATTCATCTCAAATACAGATAGTACTATAATAAATTATTGTTTTAAATAAACCTAATGTCTTAAAACACAAATTTGCAAAGATTTCAAGTTAGAGGACAAGTGAGTAACACAAATATCTTCACGTTGCACAATTCTGTAAATGTGTAAAAGACAAGCTCTGGTTCAGACTTTTTTTATAGGAGAGAAATTTACCATTGGGCAATCTTTCATTTGATGTTCTTCAGAACCACAATTGAAACAGTGAGGCTTTGGCCTATGTGGTCAAACAAAAACAAAGATTTTCATAATGTAAATGCAAACATCAAAGCAAATTTATATATTCTAGATGACAGCAAAGTATCAGAGAGACAAGAAAGCAAGAGGATCACAGATCACTGTGACCTGTAGTGGGGGCACAGACACCTCCCCGTACTTAGTGACTGAAACAACAGCACTGTGCGGTCTTTTAACCAGGAACCATTCTGTTCCTCACTGATCTGCTACCTCTTTTGAGTTTTCCGGGGTTAAAAACAAAACTGTGGCGCACAGATCGTGTCTCTTCTAGGTAACGTGGAAAGAAGGGAGATGGTTAGAAGACAGCAGTCACATGGACAGCAACGCCTACTTCTCTCCACCCTCCCGGGCATATCAGGCGTGAGCCAAGGAATTCCAAGAAACACAGGACTGGTTTTGACACGTAATATATGTCCAGATGTTGGAATTTCAGCTAAGTCTATAATTTACTTTACAGTAAACCAGCAATAAAGAATATTAACTTTTCAAGCTAAATGATTTTATGGGTTTTGGTATTTAAAAAACAAAAAGAATAAAACAAAACAACTCCCCACACAAACCTTTTTGCCTTTACTTGTATCTCTTGCCCTTCTAGAGAAACAATGTGGCTGAAGACTTGCTGGTACCTTTAGTGAGTTTTATTAAGGAATAGTTATCATAGTCTGCAAAATTTGGTAAACTTTTTAAAAAGGTGAACTTAGTGGCAAGATGCATAAAAGATCTTCATTCACTATGTAGGATACTTGGGTATTTCCCATCCTTCGGTAAGCTGAGGGTTTTCATTTAGAAGCGGTTGCCCCAATTTATCAAGGCAAAAATTAGTAAAATACAGGACACTTCCTACAACCTGCAGAAAACAAGTCAAAAAATATTGCTATTTAAGCAGAAAAAAAGACATTAAATAATGTAAGACTATGATTACTTGTTTTAACAACTTATTTTTGGATGAAATTAGTAGAAATAATAATCAACTCCCTAATTAAAGGAGCAAGATTTTAACGTGTAAGTAAAAACTACATCTGAGTTTTCCTCCCATTACTGGATCATTACTATTAACTGTACTCTCAAACAAAAAATAAAAATCTTGACTCTCACACATTCCTCCAGTACTCTACTTCTTTGCAGCAAGACCCTTACAGTCTATGTTTATTGTTTTAATTTCCTTTGTTTCTGTTTACCCTTTTCTTTTCTCTCCAAACTTTTGGAGAAATTGAATACAGACAAGTTGGAAAAACAGCACAATCAATACTCGGGCACCTTTCACCTAGATTCGACAATTGTTACATTTGTCACGTTTCTGTGCATGTCCCTCTTTACACAAACACTTTTTACTTAGCCATTTAGAACTCAGTTGTAGATATTTCATCCCTAAATACTTCAGTGTGAGCCTCACGAGGATGAGAACATTCTTCTACAAACCACAATACCATCGCCACACCTACAAAAATCAAAAACTCTCTGGTATCATCTGTATCTAATCTCTACTATTTTCCCCAACTGTCTCCTAAATGCCTTTTACAGATTATCCTAGGATTTGACTAAAGTTCCATTTTTAGTACCTCCCTCTCCCTTTGTAGTACTGGGGATTGAACTCAGGGTCTCATGAATTTCAGGCAAGTGCTCTACTGCTGAGGTATATCCTAGCCTTATTTTATCTTATTTTAATTATTTTTTTGTGTTACTGAAGAGTTAATCCAAGGCCTTCACACTGAAGGACATCCTAAACCCTCCCTTTTTATTTGAGACAGGGTCTCACTAAGTGGCTAAATTGTCCAGGCTGCACTTACACTTGCAATTCTCTACCTCTGCCTCCCAAAGTGCTGGGATTACAGGCATGCATCGCCATGCCTGGCTCTCAGCTCTTTTATTTTGAGATAAAAGATAGGGTTTCACTAAATTTCCCAGGTTTGCCTCAGACTTGCAATCCTCCTGCCAAGCTCCTGAGCAGCTGGGATTATAAGCACATGCTACTGCATCTAACTCTTTTTAGTCTCTTTTATATTTGCCCTGTTCTTAAAAACATGACCCTGTCATTCTCTACAGAGTGTCCCTAGTAACCCTGTCACTAACTTGGTTGCCTAGGATCTCAGCAAGGACCCACACACAGCCAAATACAATGAACAGCTCATTCACCCTGTCAGAAAAAATGGACAGAGCTGACTCTTCCTGCTCCCAGAAACGCCTCCTGTGGCTTCCAGAACACCACTCTCCAATTCTCTTCCTACCTCGCTGGCCAAGCCTCAGCTTCTGTGCTGATTTCTCTTACACACTGGTGTGCCATAGGGCGGTCTCTAGTCTCTCCTCTTAGCTCCTGGGGGAAGCACCCAAACCCAGGGCTTGAACATGATCTATTGCTGACCAACACTGGGGAGAAGCTCTGTTCCCCTCCACACTCCAGCCCTGTAGGCGTGAGCCAATGTGACAGCGCTCCCTGCCAAGCAAGAGGTACCCCACTCACCTGCTTAAAGCTGCACTAGCCTCACAGCTCATGCCAAAGTGCTCCTTTCCACTGTTCCCATCACAAAAAAGGCAGCAATGCTGTCCTGGCTACACAGGCCACAGACCTGTGTCGTTCTTTGAGGGATGGAACCCAGGGCCTTCACACTGAGCTATATCCCCAATCCTTTATTTTTTATTTTGAGACAGGGTTTCATTAAGCTGTCCAGGCTGGCCTCAAACTCGTGCCAAACCTCCTGCCTCAGCCTCCCGTGCTGGGACCTGTGGCACTCCAACCCTTCCCTTGGTCCCACATTCTACAGCCAACTCATCAACACATCCAAGTAGCTCTTCTTTCCTACCACATCCGGTTCTGCCCATGCTTCATCACAGCTATCATTTCCTCTCACCTGAGATTAACACAACAGCTTCCTAATGGGTTTAGATTTTCTAGACGTAACTAAATACTATTTTCCACACAGAATCCAGCTCTTTTCTTTTCAATATTCAAGTCACACTAGGTGTGGTGGTGCACACCTGTCATCCCAGCACCTGGGAGGCTGAAGGAGGAGGATCATCATTAGTTTGAGGCCAGCCTGGGCTATATAGTGAGTTCAAGGATAGCCTGAACTACATAGTGAGATCCTGTCTTCAAAAATCAATAATAATGATAATAATAAAAAATTCAAGTCACAGCATGTCATGTTTCTACTTAAAACCTTCCAATGGCTTTTCCCCTTACTCAGAGTAAGATCCACTATGTAGAGGCCCCGCTATGGCCTAGAGAGCTCTGGAGACTACAGGCCTGGCCTCACACCCGGGCTCTGTGCTTGCCCACCAGCATGTTTCTTAGCTTTCCATGTCTGCTTCCCCGTCTTGGGATGGGAACACTAATAGTGCCTTCGGAGTAACAATTGTCACGAGCCCATCCTCAACACCAGCAACTACATGTAGTGAGCAGTATGTGTGCCGGCTTCCACCCTTTCTTGCAACCTAAAGTCCTCTCCACTCACACTGCAGCCTCAGGTCCCTCCTCACTTCATCCAGTCCCGGCTCTGAGGCTGTCACCAAGTGCTCACTATGCAATCCGCCTACCCCACAGATGCTCTCTTACTCCTTACCCTGCTTCACTTTTCTTTTGAAGGCACTGCCTTCTCCCACTAGCATGCAATTCAACAAGAGCTAGGACTTTGCCCTTTTTCTTCACTGCTGTGTCCCTGGAACTTAGAATGATTCCTTACACAAAACGGCATCCACTAAATAATTAGCATAGTATTTATTAAAGAACTAAATTAATATATAAAATCCCTAATTTCTATGTATGTGTCTCTTTAAATACTAAACTTCAAAGTTGGAAAAAGAAATGAAAAGTTACCAAGTTCAAATCAAAATGTTTAAAAGAATCCTCATAGTATCCTAGTCTGTAAGTTCTAGGAACATGGAATTCACTTTTTGAAAATGAAAAAGCCTCGTATGTGCAAGGCAAGTGCTGTACCACTGAGTTACACTCTCAGTGCAGCTTTCTAAAAGATGACTTGAGGACTGGGGATGTAGCTCAGTGGCACTGTGCCTGCCTGGCAAGCACAAGGTCCTGAGTTCAATCCCTGGTACCAAAAAAAAAAAATGAGATGCACCTCCTTGTACTAAATTCAATCACTGATCCTAATTCTGCCACTTAGCACTGTAAGGGGTGACCTCTAACACCCTTCATCCTACTTGCAGAAATGCAACATTGCTTGTAAATGTTTTCAAAAAGTTTGTGGCTGTTCACAATCCCTGAAGCCCCAGTCTTTAAATTTGAGGTACACTAACAGTGAATAATACACCCAAAACTTGAAAGCTAGACCTTCTTTAATAGCATCCAGGATTATAGTGCCCTTGAAAAAACACTGTAAGCTACAAAATCATACATTGTATCAATACTGGCATAAATGGTACTGAAAAGCCTAAATGTACTCCTGCCTGTTAAGCTTCTACTTTTTACCCACCAGAGGAGTTGGTCAATATGTTAAATTTCAAACATGCCATTTGATATAGTAGCTATCTATTTCATCCATCTGCAAATTCAACAAGTATGCTTTCTATATCTTTATTCAAGTTCTTGAAGATAAACACAAAGAGGTGGTTAGGACAAATATAAGCTCTGTCAAAAATGTCTATAGTGCTCCCACCTCACAATGCAATAGTTATTAAAAAGTGAACAGTATTTAGAGGCTGAAGTCTATGCTACTGTTGAAAACAAAACAATGCTGAGATCATTATGAAAACACATGACTATGCCACTTTATCATTTAAACACCACCTGACTGATAATGGATAGGACTCATGCATCTGTAGAGTTCAAAAATAAAATGACCACACTTACACTAAAAGCTTCCTTGCTGTTTTTAAGGGTACAAGACTCTTCTATTTTATGGTCCTCTTCCAACACAATACTGGACGGCTAAGACAAGAGAAACATATGTTACAAACAACTCCTTTTATTTTCCAATATACATCACTAAGGTACACTGAATTTTGTCATAATTGGGGTGAGCTGAGAAGTTAAGGTAGGAATGTTAGTGAAAGATTTTTCAAAAGTGGGCAACTAAAAAAGGTATCAACATGGGCCAGGGATTTAGCTCAGTGGTGCCACCGCCTGCCTTGCAAGCACAAGATCCTGAATTCGATTCCCGGCACCAAAAAAACCCAAACGTATCAACAGGTAGCTTTTTCTAAAGCATTACCATGTGGTTGTGGCTTTTGTGTTAATCAATGTTGATTATGAAACTAAATGTTTACACTGGTAAGGTATTTATCTTCAAAATAGATAACCAGAAAGATATTTAAAAATTCATAATTCAGTGTAACTGGTTAGTACAGATAAAATAGCTCTGATAGGTCACAAGCGACAGTTCTGGGTTAAATCTCCAATACCATCACCAAAACTTCTAAGCTTTCCCTGAGCCCAGTGTGGCGGTACACGCCTGTAATCCCAGCACTTGGCAGGACGAGGGAGGAGGAGGACAAGTTTGAAGCCAGCCTGAGATATATACAGGGAGATTTTGTCTCAGAAAATCCAAATTTAAAAAAAAAAAAAAAGAAATCCTGGGGGCTGGGGATTTAGCTCAGTGACATCGCGCCTGCCTCATAAGTGCAAGGTCCTGAATTCTATCCCCAGTACAGAAAAAAGAAATTCCTTATTTGAAAGACTCTAGTTACCTTAAGTTTTAATTTTAAAAAGGCCTAGAAATGACAATCCTGATTTTTATGTATATAAATTCATGCTCTAATATCACACAGTGAGATTTGTCAGATCTCTTTGGATATGCTATTTATTTTTTAAAAACAAGGCAAGGGGAAAAAAGGATGGGACATAATTTATTCTGTTGGTTTTCTTTTTTTTTCAGTACTGGGGGATTGAACTCAGGACCCTGCGCTCGGAGGCAGGCGCGGCATCACTGAGCTAAATCCCCGGCCCTCTCTTGATTTACTGTTTTTTATTTATCTATTTATTTATTTTTGTATCGGGGATAGAACTTGGGACCTTGTGCCTGCGAGGCAGGCAGAACCACTGAGCTAAATCCCGGCCCCTGATTTACTGTTTTTTAAAAAATTCATCCTTTGGGCTGGGGATTCAGCTCAGTGGTTCCGCTGCCTGCCTTGCAAGCGCAAGGTCCCGAATTCAATCCCCGGTACCAAAAAAAAAAAAAAAAAATCCAACTTTTATAAACCTCTGGTATACAGAATATTTTTACTGGCCTGAAATTAATTTTTCTGCCCAAAACCATGTGTCCATTTAGGAAAAACAGCCAGGTGTGAATATGAGCTGCATCCTCAAGGAGGTCAGCAGGGGGCAAGGCAGACTTTGGAGAAGGCAGCAGGCAGCGGGCAGGGAGGTGACAGGCCACTGTAACAATCATTGTGGTTTGGATTCAAGACCATCCCTTTAGCCTAATAACTGGCAGCAAAAAGCATAACCTACTAATCTTAAAGTCTCTGAAATGTGAACTACCTGGGGCAAAAGATTAAACGAAGTCTTTTCCACATCATTTTTCTGCTGTTCCTCAAATCTTTTTACTAAATTTGATACAAATTCCTCTATTTCTTGATGATATTGCCTGTATAAGAGGACAAAATGATCAGAACGCAAGTAAGGCATTTCATAGATTAAAATCTTATGCATTATTGTAAAATGTCATGTCTTAACTTTGTTACTTTGTTTTTCAGAGGTTTATCTAACTACTGACTCTTTGTAACACTCAGGAACCAGGGCCAGGGATTGAGCTCAGTGGTTCTGCCGCCTGCCTTGCAAGTGCAAGGACCCAAGTTTGATCCCCGGTACCAACAAAACAAAACAAAACACTCAGGAACCTACTCTTAAGAAAAAATAATTGTTGCAAAGTTAACAAAATGATTACAATAACCTAATACCTGTTTGGCATTGAACAGTTGCCAAACAGTTGTGAAAATAAATGTATTTTCTTTATAAATTCTATGCACTGGACCGGGGATCTAGCTCAGTGGTTCTGCTGCCTGCTTTGTCACAAGTTCGATCCCCGGTACCAAAAAAAAAGTATAAATTCTACGCACTTAATTTTTGAATATTATATATAAATGGCTCAAAATCCAAAAGAAGTAAAAGGGTTGCACAATGAAAAGCTTCCTCCCTATGCTATCTCCCTGTAAACTATTTCTGCAAAACAAAGATAATGCATTCAATTCTTCCATATCCTCCTCTCCTACAGATAAGAGAACATCCATTTAATATGAAACTCAAATATAAATGAAAACCAAAATCCAATACAGGTATAAGAAGAAAATACAAGCTCTATGTTCTCCAGTCCTCCGGGTGAAGAACCACTCAGATCAGGTGATCTGCAGTGTCCCCTTAGGTGCTGCCCAAGGAGCCCAGGTCTGTGACGCTGCAGTTGGAAGCTAGGATGCCGCAGACTCAGCTTCCTTCTCACCTGATGCTCTCCCAAGCCTTTCCCAATTCTAACATTCTAAGATTTTTGCAGGCAGAACCACAGACAAATGGTCCAGAAATCAGTACATTCTCTGGAGCTGGACTAGACAGCATTTTTCATCTGGAGGGGACAACAGGGCCAAGGGCCAGTTGTATCCAGCACCTTGCTGCAACTGCATTAACCACCCAGCTTCCCCAACTTCGGAGCATTGGGTTCTACTTCTGTGGAGGTAAAATGGGTTATGAACCTGACACTTGTTCCCTTTTTCTTCTCTGCAGTGGCTGCACGTGAAATAACAGCACGACTTAATGACTCAGGAGAGGCAAGCGACTGTGAAATACCTACAACCACGCACTGAAGAGGGCACAGAGCAATGACTCAAACCACCTCAAAACACTCTAGCAAACCTGCTGGAAGACACCAAGTCAGCAAACTCACACCTGCTGGAAGGCTTGCAAAAGTCTAGTTTTGTTACTAAAGAAAACTCCTCATGTAGGTATGTTTTGAAGACAGCCAACACAAAGGCCTCCATTGCCCAGTTCTGAGAGAGAAAGGCCTACTATGATTATTACTGTTATGGTGGTAGTGGTTATTTTTATTAGAAACAGTTTACTGGGCTCTTACGGGTGCTCATTTAATCAGCTACAGTAATTACTATTGGTATATTGTTTTCCAGAGAGGGAAACTAATGACACAAAAAAGCTCTAAGACCTGCCCAGGTTCACAGATGCAGGAAACAGAAGTCCAGATTCAAATTCAGATCTGTATGACTCCCATGTCCTTGGTCTTAAATTGATTTCATAAAATTTAAAGATGATATAAGTACAAATGAAAATAGATGGAAGACATTGTTTCATAAACACATTAACTCATTATAATCAGGAAAGGAAAAATATTACTTACTTTGAAATAATATTGTTCATAAATAGAATTTGCAATAAAGGTCCATCTAATTTAGTATTGTTCACCAATATTCCACTAAAACAGAAGTTAAAACATATTCTTAGAAGATATTAAAGTAAAAGTTACAAATGTATATACAGACTATACAGTCACGTAACTTTCATAATACTTTGTTTGTGTGAGACAGGGTATCACATCGTAATCCAGGCTGGCCTTGAACTCACAGCAATCTTCCTGCCTCAGCCTCCCAGGTGCTGAGATTACAGGCCTGTGTCATAGCACCTGACTTAAAACTTTTATCTAAATGATTTTATTTCACCTTATTCTTTGGTTTTCTGTAAAATGCTTTTACTAGTCAGAATATGGAGGATATTAATCCTCAAAAATATAAAATAAAACAATTTACTTTTTCATATTGATGCATCCTCCTATAAAATGGCAAAATCTATAATACTATAATCAGACAAAAATGATTATCACCTCTTTTGAGATAAATATTTTATGTTTAGGGCCAGGGATTTAGCTCAGTGGTTTCGCCACCTGCCATGCAAGTGCAAGGACCCGAGTTCAATCCCCGGTACCAAAAAAAAAAAAAAATTTTTTTTGTTTAAACGATGAACTGTGTTAGAAAAAGTATGCGTATCAATGTAGAATATTTAACATAAAAATTAAGAATTTTATAAAGAATACTAATATTCAATACTTTTACCATCTAACCACCAATGGGTTTACATACACAAAGTGTGCTCCCATAGAGGAAAGAAGGCAGGGTATGAGGAAGTTAACCTTAAACACTTCTAAATTCTAAAATTTCAGCTTTCATTCAAAATGCAGCCAGCTGTTCCAGCAAACACTAGGGACAAAAAAGTGCGGGCAACTGACATCATACCCCCTCCAATTCTAAAACCTTGAAAATAACACTCTACACAACAAATGTGTACATTAACAAATAAGATTTAATGTTAAATAAATTTATATTGAAATACTAGGGGGCCCAGGATTTAGCTCAGTGGTTCCGCCACCTGCCCCTGCAAGCATAATGACCCGAGTTCGATACCCAGTATCAAAAA